GTTAGAGAAAGTTGGACGCAGACTTGATTAGAGAGGTGAGACTAACAGAAGGCAGAAAATATTTGCACACAAATTTATGTTCAATATATTATTAACCTTTGTCAAATAGCCAATATTTCTTTATTGTCCATTTTGCTTTGCATCTTTTAAGACACAAATAAACAGAATAATAGGTAAATGTTCCTTTATTTTTCCAGGCGAAGTGTCAGTGAGATACGAGCCCTGGCAATGGTTTTCAGACCAATTGAGTTCAATTTGATCATTTTCCACAGAACAACTAATGAACTCTCTCAGCAGGTGGCGCTGAGTCACAGCCCTTATGAGACACAGTCTGACATTTTCAATTATTTTAGACAAATGGAGCAGAATGTGGTGTGAAAATCCCAAATTCTGTCCAAAAGGTGCTTTGAATGGGGATTTTGTCTTTGTTGAGTCATTGGAAACCTAATGATACATATGTTTAAAAACGTTGCTGCAAGCTGTATGTATTTCCAATAATGTACATGTACTACTGAGGCAAACAGTCCCAGCGCAGGTGATTGCTAACGTTAACAGTTAAGCGCTGTTGGGTATGAAGTCACGTTGGACTTGTTGGCGTGTTCTCATCATTTGTTAAAGCTCCCTCTGGCATTTCAGACTTTGGCAGGCCCGACAGCTGTCTGAATGCAGAGCTGCTTTTCAAACATGTTGGCACATATTGCCTCACAAGGAGCTGCTGGATTCACATCCACCTTGTGTGTTAAAAAGTTATTGTCTACCTTGGTATGCGTACTGTGAACCAGCAACCTTTTGAGGTATGATAATGGGCTTTGAACTTGAGAAGGTTTACAAGTGCCGCAGTTATTGTGGTCATTGGAAGGTTAACGGGCAGCAGAGACAGGGGCGCCTTGACAACCGGCCTCGTTAAACCAGGGTGCTAATACTGTCATTCAAGCTTTTCAAAGTGATTCTACAAAATATGTGCACTTTTTCAATAATGACTCTGCAGAGCGGAGAAATGTATACTTGAATTAGCCATGTTACTGCTTGCAGTGACGACATAGCTGCCACTGGGGGCACTGTTTAGCCACCTAAAAAAAGTCTAGCCAATAGCTAAAAAGGGGATGCATCCGTGTTGACTATTGGTCAGGGTTTATTTGTTCACTTGTTTGTGCTAGTCCTGCACCAGGATTAGTTCATTATTTTCATTATCAATTTGTCTGTCAGTCAGTCAGCTGGATATGCGGGTCTACTACATCCATTTAGTTAACTAAACAAAATTATTTTTAAACATCACAGTTAGAATGAGCCAACCACCAAACTATTCCTCCAGGAGATACTTACTCTGATTTAGAGATTTTGAAATGAATAATGACACACCCTACCTGACAAAAGCCAAAAAAATAAAAACAGTAAAGACAATCAGTGGCAGGCTAGGACTGATAGTAATGATGAAATGGGCAATTAGAGGAATGAAGAGACTGTGTGTTACACTAGTAATTCAGTTTCCTTTCCTTCCTAGAACTTATTCACGTACGATACCAATATTAAAAATTGGAGTATCTGCTGATACCAAAATCAATCTGATACCTTCTTTTCTTTTTCATCACGCAGCTGGCTGCTGTTGCCGAGGAGATAAAATCGCTTAAAATTTTTTTTTTGACCGATATCGGACCGATACTGATACTTTGTATCAGTCAAAATGTCATTACAAGCGTTATCGGACCGATACTGATACTTTGTATCGGATCAAGTCACCCCAAATAACTAAAGGTCAAAATGTCGTTACAAGCATAAAAAAAACCATCCCTGAATTTCCACAACATTTTTTAGGCGTATACTGTATAGTAACGCTAACAACTGAACACTCGTTTTTCTTCTGATTTCTTAGCTAATTTATATATACAACAAAGGAACAAAGTACTAACATGATCAATGGCATTGAAATTTGTGCTACAGTAGAAGAGGTTTAAATTTCTATTTTGAAAAAATACTGTGATTCTACTGTATAACCACATACTGTGTGGTTATACAGTATTAAGTAATCAGTTGTTGAATAACCGTATATTAATATAATTATAATACAATCGAATAATTATAATTCATATATTAATTATTACATAATATACTATTTGTTTTGAGGATTTATCAGGAAAACAGGCAACAGTAATCCACATAGGCTTGGTTGACATATACTAATACATATATTTTATTATATTTTGTATTGCAACACATAAAAATATATGCAACGTAATACTAAAAGATAACACGTAATAATTAAAAGAATGACGTATGAATAAATGCCGGAATTAATTTTGAGAGAGGGGAATATGTCTCGATGACAGTCTGTGAGAATGGAGTGAGCCTGTCAGTGGCTGAGAGCAGATGGGGAGTATCAGCTATAACATTTACAGCAGTGTCTCAACTTGCTGGACACCGCAGCTGCTTCCCTCCAGGCTACTCCTTCTTACCCTGCTGTTAGCGGATAGACCGTGGCAGGCATGTGCTGAGCACTTTTACCGCAGCTGACATGACCTTCGTTTCACGATGGTAATGATGTCTTTACACCAGCTCACTACAGCCGACTCTCTCTGTCCAGATATTGAAGATGGAAAAAATTAGCTTGCGTCAAGAGGCGGCTGAACCTAATAGATAGACGGACCAAACTATTATGAGAAAGAGTGGAAATCATTTTTAGACTCTTAGACTAGAAATCAGACTTTCCGGACTATAAGTTGCACTTTTTTTTTCATCCTTTGGCTGGGTTTGCGACTTATAATCAGGTGCGACTTATATATTAAAATATACAATTTCACGTTTGTTATTTTCACACTGACAGCCGCTAGAGGGCACTCTAGGCTTGTGTACCAGTATCTGCTACTCCTGTAGCACTGGGAATTTACATGTTTCGTTATTTTCACAGACAGCTGCTAGAGGGCACTCTAGGCTTGTGGTCTAGTATCTGCTACTTCTGTATGACTGGAAATTTACATGGTTGTTATTTTCACACTGTGAATATTTCGCGAGATCAGATTAAAAAAGAAATCCATGATGTGCTGAGGGAGCGAAAGGAGAACCATGATAAAAAAAAGGGGACACTGTAGTTCTCTATTTTAAAGAAAGTTTAAAAAGAGTCAAAATAAAAGGTTAAATATATAAAATGTATTATACATATTAATAGTTTTAAAAACAGAGATTAGCAGTGAACAATTTACCTTTTACCCCATTTAAGGATTTTTTTTTTACATTTTTTTCATTATTTCATGCTACGTATTACGTCACTTTACGCTATCACACTCTCATATTTTGGTGACTATATTATCTATACTACTTATCCATCTACTACATTATGGGAGCTGTTTGAGAGTAGGACGTCGTTACTATCTGTCTTTTTGATGTTTGGATTCACTGCCCCCTGCTGTCCAGAGTGTGGCACAACATGATTCAATTCTCACTACTAAACCAGTGGGGTCACCAACCTTTTTAAAACTGTGTGCTAAGTCAAATGTGCTTAATAATACTAAGAGCTACTTGTTTGGTACAAGCTTCCATAACGGAATGGATTTTTTTCCCGTTTTATTTTGTTTCACCAGCCGCTA